GTCATTTTTCGGAAGTGTGACTGAAGAGAGTTAAATTTTATTTTTCGCAGATGCGTCATTGGATTCTTTATTCCGTATCATGTGAACTGAGGGAACAAGACTTGCGGAAAACAATCGGAATAGCTGTGATTGGCTATCTCAATAACGCACTCTCCGTTCCGCAGCTCTTTTCCGTATCATCTGATTTTACCCTAATTCATGGGCAAGATCTATAGAGAGAAGGTTACCTCATGCGCAAAGAGGGACGAGAGGCAAGAGGGGCTAATACTGTGCGGGGCGAGCGGCAAGAGGGGCAAATGCTGAGCGGGGCGAGCGGCAAGAGAGGCAATGATGATCTCATCGTCAAACAGTAGCTGTCTCTCTCGCACGCTTTAGTGTTTTCTCTCTTGCTCCTTTAATATAGAAATGCTTTGAGTTTTTATCGAAAAAATACTTTTATTTTGTAAAATATTGATAGCACTGAAAATTGCGTAATAAAAATTAAAAAATAAATTAGAAAGGCGCTATAAATTACATATATTGCAAATTATAGCGCTAGGTATTTAACGTTTATAATGTTAAATATCGCTGCAACAGATGCATTTGTAATACAAATTGCTTTGTACTTGTATTTAGACTGTAATATCAATGAAAATAAAATATAATTTGGGGATATACACAAAAAACATCATTTGTAAAGTAGTAAAATAAAAGAAAAAATAGTACATATTTAAAAATTATTTTTAAAATAATATTTACTGTTTATATGCATTATTTACAACAGAAATACTATAAAGAAATTTATTTTTTATATTTAATTGTAAAAACCTCAAAAATTGTCAAGAAATTGTAACTGAAATTCATAAATGTAAGTTAAATTATTTCTTCGGTTTTGTTCATTTGAATATATTAGAGGAAATAACAGACAAAATAATTAATATACACGTACCTTTGATTTTTACTATATAACCTCTTAAACTGACACATAAAAATCAATAATGAGAGCGAGTGACAGAGTTAGAAACAGTTAGAAAAGGAAGAACTTTGAAAGAGAGAGACAGCTACTGTTTGTCGATGAGATCATCATGCTCTCCCTTTCCTTCGTCGTCTTTCGCCTACAAGTTGTTTCTAGCTCCCCCCTTACTTCGTCGTTCCTCGCCAACAAGCTGTTTCTTGCTCCCCCCTTACTTCATCGTCCCTCGCCCACAACCGGTTTGCCTGAGGTAACCTTCTCTCTATAGATCTTGATTCATGGGATGCGTTCAGAAGACACAACAGTTGCACAATTGTTGTGTACGTTTTTCAACACTTGACGTTGATTTGTTGGCTCTAAAAGATCTGATAGAATACTCCAA